TGTATTATTTTTCCATTTCCATCTTGACAACTATTAAAAAATTTCCATCTAATGCTTTTTTATCCACTGGGCACTTTCCTTTTATATTTGAACTCCTATGGATCATCTCTCGAGTCGTTCCCTTTAGTTACTTACAACTCCGATGCAATGAGACTAAATAAATATAATAGAGGGCAAGTATAACAAGTCCAAATAAAATTAATGCTTTAGAACTTATTTTCTTTTAAGAAGGGTTTAATGAAGATGCAGAAGATAAACAAAGTGAGTGCAACCTCTCATATGCAGTGCTGGATAAAAACAAAAATCATAAGTCCGAGTTAATATAATTGCCATTGAAAGTCTTTACCGTATTATTTCTAATAAGGAGTTCTTTCATTCTCTTGAGAGTATTAAAGTTTTCTTTAATTTTCCCATGTCAAATATTGTTAGGGAAAATGCACTCAACTTGAAATTTTAGCAAAAGTTACTCAACCCTTGAAACAAAAGCATACTCAACACCAGAAACAATCTACTAATAAAACAAAAGTAAGATTTTTGGTTTCATGAATATGCTCTATATCTCTATATTACTTAACTCAACACCAAATTGAGAATAAGAATTATAAGAGTCATAAATTATTGATATATTATGAAAAAGAAATGTTGTAAATAGGGAAAATATATTAGAAATCTGAAAATATGGCATAGGCCAAGAAAATAACAAAAAGGTTGGGAATGAGAAAAAGGCAAAGAGAAAGAATCATGTGGCATATTTAAAGATTGACACTTATCTTGTGAAATCTTCAATTTGTCCTCATATCCATCTTTAAAGCAATTAAATTCCTTATTAATGTTAGGAATCCTACATTTCTATATCTTTCAAAATTCTACTTTATGTATTCACTAAGGCTTGAAATGAAATTAGAATATAAATGATTTAATTGAGCTTATACACACCATCTTATTATAAGCTTGATCATTAAATATCCTCCAAGAACTAAACTGCATTATCCATAACTCTGTAATTGATATCATGATCACAATCCATGTCAATGGGAAATAATAGGACATCAAGAACAGAAAACACTGTGTAATCATATCCTATAGAAGTTAATATTGGCAATATATCATAGACAAACACAACATTAATATGATCACACTTTACATGACCTAAAGCTTGATCTAACATTGGAACAGTCCTAAAACATTTAACATCCTAATACTAAAACCAGCATACAAAACGGAGCTAAATAGAATTTAGCATTATTTCACCATACCGGTGGCCTAATATGAGGATATAGAAACTCCACCAATTAACATGGTATGGAGTTTGGATTTAGACTGTACCATATATGAATTTGGAAAGGGGGCTAAGGGAGTTTTAAATGTATAGTAGGTTAGAAGTATAATTTGAGACATTAATTTGACTTTTGTTAGGCTATATCGCTTTTTATTGTTTGTTTTGGGTATAAGTCTAAGTTCCATGCTACTCTAGTCAATAGGGTATCCATCTCCTCGCATTAAGCCATTAATATGTTGAAAATGTGTCAAACACCATTTGACACTGTTTGTATGCAAGAGTTGAATACAAAGAGCTAGTGCTTGTAAGGGATTTAAATGCGTATTAAATCCTTGTTTTATAGTACAACAAAATTAAAGTTTGGCCCCCCTCCATATGAATGCATGCTTTAGACTTTCACCCCAGTCCAAGGAGTTAAGGATGTACTTAAAGGATGAATTAACATTTTTATAATACAAAAGGATGCTCATCAACACCACCACTAAGTTAAGGCCCCAAAGCCTATCTATCCACTAAGTCCCATTAACTTTTGAGACTTCTTCACCACATGACTATACCTTTGGTTATTAAATAAGAGAACCATTGCCTTTTAGGATTTTGGGATAACATTTCAAAACACCATAATTTAATATAAGCCTTATAAATACTCTCCCCATCTTTTGCCACCAAAGTGTTCTAACCATATGGGTAAAGCAAAGTTTTAATGAGCCAAGTAAAATAGCTAAGTAGGCAGTGCTGCCCACACTTAGATTAAGAGCATTGACCATTTAATCTCCCAAAAGAGGTAGAATGGCCTTTTGAACATTTCACCAAATCATTTCACTTGTCCATTCATGTTTTCCTTAGTCACACTAGCCTTCCTTGGCCACACTAGTTCTTTAAAATCTTACCCATGTAAAGACTTTGGGGTTTGAGAAACAATCATTTAGGCTTTCACTTCAGACTTGAGCTTTGTTTTAAATTTGGTTTTGGATTTGGTCTTGGTATTAGTTTTGGTCTCAGCCTTAATCTTGGTTTCAGTCTTGAACTCCATCTCAAGTTTAACCTTGACACACAACACTTGCCATGTGTTACTCATTTTTTAATCTTTTATTTGAGACTCACTTACCAATGATTTGTGCTTGTTACTTAAACACTTCTTTGTAAGCCACAAATTTTTCCTTTCCAATTTGCCAGCTTACCTCGTCTATCCGTCCAACACTGCCTTGGCTTTTGCTAAGTTCCCTCGCCAAGGTTCTCGCCTATGGTACCAGCTCCTACTTGGTTTCAGCTACTCACTGCACGAGCAACGGAGTGTTAGCCATCCTTCCACGGATTCCCAAATCACTCCCAATCCCCCTCCCCGGGTTAGACTGGACTTAAGGTTCGGCTACACTCCCCGCAAGCACAAGCAGCCAAGCACACCAAGCTTCCAGGTTCCTAACATCCCTTGGTACCACAAGACTTGATCATGGGACCCTCTAAATCCCAAGTCTTGAGTGCAACACTTGCTTCGGGACGCCGGGGCGAAACACCGTGGCCTAGTGGCCCGGTATGGGTACCTCTCGCCCCCCACTTCCATCCCGAAGGAAGGCCCAAGCCCCTAGGAAGGGCGAGGACCAATGAGCCGCATGGTACTCAAGTGGGGCACCACTCCACATGAGCCGGGAGCACCGCAATCGGTTTCCCTTTCGGGAGTGGGAGCTGCTCTTGAGTACTTCCTTGGATGGCCCCTCCGGCACCAGCCAAGTCCATGCTCACTCCCACCCAAGGCCCCTCGGTCCCAGTCTCAACCTCAAGTCGGTTT